GTGCCCGTGCCCGCCACTCATGCAAATGTAGCTGTGCACATGCCTGTGGACTTGCCAGCTGCTCGCACGGAACCATACCCTCTTCCCCCTCCCCCTGCTGGTCTGTAAAGCCGGAAAGATTGGGGAATTCTGCTGTAGTAAACATTGGATCTTCGATTGAGTTGGGTCTTCATTTTGGATTTTACTAACATAACAACACAAGCAAAACACATGCAAACTGCAAAATTATAAATGAAAAGCATAACATAGGGCTGTTGTTTTGTATTTTTAAATATCTATTTAGACAAAATTTAAGTGTCCTTTTTCACTTGACAAAGTCTGAGTTATTTCTGCAGGAAACATAATTCAAAGATCTCTAATTATCTTCTTTTTCCTGTTTTTATTTTAATAGCATCAACAGACACTAGACCTAGATGCTATCTAGTTTTTGTGGTCTTTGAAAGTGCTGTTTCCCAATAGCAATTAAGCACAACTGCCCAACAACCAAAGATTAAAACACAGGTGATTGATGAAAAGATAGTTGCACAAATAGGGAGAGCAAGGGATGAAGATGGAAAGTACTATTATGGTCACCAATCAAGAAAAGAAATCTCTGATGACTTTGTGACTGCTGTATCAGAGATGGAAACCATGATATCCTCCAGACAGAAAGGAAATCCTGTTGTGTGTGCTAAGCTTGGCTTCCCCAATCTGGTGTTTGCTACAATAAAGTTCTAAGTAAATCTGGAACTTTTCCTGATAGCTACTTCCTCCTAGTGATGAACAGACCCTGCTTTGTACAATCCTGAATTGCCTTAGTGACTGAACCCCAACCAAGTGACTTCACGCACCAAACATACCAAACTATAAAATGGTTTATTTGGTTTAGCTTATTGGGATGCATTAACCTGTCATGAGGCAAGCACAACTCAGTCATGTTCTTCATGCAAGCTCCTCATCAGGTATTAGAGAAATAAATATATTATGTGAATAATCAACATGGCATCCTTTGGCTATTTTAGAATGCAACTCACACAAGTGTTTTGCCCTTGCTTGCTTCCTCAGATTGAGAGTAGCTGGCTTCATGCCCATAGTGGGATTAGCATAGCTTGGGTGGAGGGTTGGACTAGATGACTTCAGGTCCCTTCCAACTCTGTTATTCTATTCTAATGAAATGGCATAGGGTTTCCTGCTTGTGCGGGGGGGGGTTGGACTAGAAGACCTCTAAAGTCCCTTCCAGCTCTATTATTCTGTTCTGTTCTATTCTATTCACAATCCCTCACTCTTAACCACTACACCAAAGTGGCTCTCAATTTGTTTGTTTTTCTTCTGTTCAGTCGGGTCCAATTCTTGGAAACTGTCTGGACAAGTCCCTGCAGTTTTCTAGGCAAGGATTTTCAGAAATGATTTGACATTGCCTCCTGCCTAGGGCTGAGAGAAAATGACTGACCGAAGGACACTCAGCTAGCTTTGTGCCTCTACTTATCTACAAAGGGATGTGCTCAGTCCTGGGGATGGCATATGTCAAGTACACTGACTCAATTTCAAAGTTTTCTGCTGGAAGATCCTAAGTAATCCGTGTCTCCTTGCTTTGGGCAGGACTAGATAACTTTCTTTGTGAAATGGATTGAAGACAATGATGGTGGTGATGATGATACTAGTGGGGTGGTGGTGAGGAGGGAGGGGCAGTTGATGATAATGATGATAGAAGAAGAAAAGTATGTGCTAAATGGAGAGCAACCCAAAGACTATCTTCCTGTACATCTGGTGAGAATATTCCTCAGCATTTTCCAGTGACTTTGGAAAGATGCCCATTTGCAAATTAAAGACAGAAATTAAAGTTCTGGAGGCTTAGCTGATCTTATATGATTGCCTGTTCTAGGTATCTGATTTGCTGCAGAGACTGAATTGATTATCCATCTGCTAGAGACATAGCCTCTCATCCTAAGTTTACCTAAATGCAAAACATTTCAGACATGAATAAAATTACTGCTTACTTTTAGCAGTATTAATGATGTGTTTATTTGACAGATTGATTAAATTTGTATGCTGCCTCCCATGGTAAAACACAATTGTGGACAACTTGCTAGAAGAATAAAAGCAAACAAAGAACAAAAAAAACCCCCAAGTGTCTGACCCTCCACCTCCAGTCCATCTATCCATACAATCCTCGGAAGCTCCAAGCTTCCCCTTGCATCTGGGGAAAGGAAAAGCCCTTTATGGCTTTCTGAAAGGGTAAAAGGTTGGGGGTTGCTGAACCCCCAGGAGGAAAGTTCTTCAGTAGGGCAGGAGCTGCTATAGATAACGCACACTTCCTAGGCCCCATTGGATAGCAACATTTCAGGGCAACACTTACGGGATGTGATATAATGGGCAGTAGGAATAACCTTGAGGAACATAAAGATGAGCTGCAATCAAAATAACAGTCAGATAAAAAATATTTGAGTCCAAGGCAGAAATGTAATTTGAGAAAGCATCTCAAACTTGACCCTCTCTAGTTCTCACAAAGGGAAAGACAGAGAGGGGGGAAGCATGCTCGGACTTTCGTTTCGTCCTCATTTAGCCACCAATTTAAATGAAATTTGCTTATTAATTACAGTTTCTGTAAACCCAAAGTGCTGAGTGCTCTATTTGGAAGAACAATAAAGTTAAATAACGGCATATGATCCAGAAAGTTGTGTTGTGTATTGAGAGCACTGATGGTGGTGCCCTAGTTTACCTGGATTTATTTTTACTTTATGCAAACAGAGCAGTTGAGTTTAATTTGATTTACATTTTATAGTCAAGATAGTTGGAGTGCATGAAGATGCTTATGACCAGCATTCAGCAACGCTTAGTATCTCACTGAAACACAAGAGAAAGATTTGAACTATTCTCCTCTTTTACCTTCAGTCTCTGCAAGTAGATGTGCATTGGATCAGATTGTGGAAGGTTCTGCTTGACAATCTGTTCCTGTGCACAACTCTATGCACTGAATTCTGTAGGTGTGCAGGTAAGCTTCAGGGCTTGTAATCTTAATTTGGTTTATCAATTTCTAACTGACGATACCCATGAATTATATTGGAACTTCATCTAATTCTTAAAAGACCTCTAAGTAGGGGTGGTGCAGCACTTCTTGGGGAAAGTTGCACAAAATCCTATAAAATACAACTCTTCGTTTCTGTCTGTTTTCTATTTTCTGGATTTCCAATTTAGCATCAACCAGAGACGTTCACATACAGCAGCCTTCCCAACTGGTGTCCTCATGTGGACTTAATTCCTTTAACTCCACAGCCATATGAATATGACAGGAGCTGCAGCTCCACACATCCATAATCAGATTTATGGAAGGCTGTTTTAGTGGAAATAAATAAATAAATAAACCCTCTATCTCCACCTTCTAGTTTCCATGTCTACCATGTTAAAAGATGTCTATGTGTACATATCAATATGTCTGGAAGAGGATAAAGCAGAAAAACACCATTGTAAAAATGATTAATCTATTTAGGCAAGAGTCATAGCTTAGTTGCATGCAGGAAGTTCATCCTCTGCTTTTTTTTTTCAAATTAAAAATATCTCAAAAGTATCTTTAAAATATCTCAGGTAGTGCCTCTTCCTGAGGCCTTGCAGATCTACTGCAAGTTGTAATGATTACTACTGGATAAGATGGGTTAGGCCTATATGGAGAACTCTGTGTAACCTTATAAGTATAGGTTCCTACATGCAGTGGTTCATCACCAATCTAATTATCCAGTTCAGCAATCAAGGAGAAACATAAGAAACTGTGCCACAAAGCTCCAGCTTGTGTAGGATTTTGGATGGCAGGAATGCTGCCCAAACAGTATTGTAAATTATGCTAATATAATTGGACTCTAAAAGATTGCCAAACAAGAACTATCTGTAGATAACAGAATAACAGAGTCAGAAGGGATCTTGGAGGTCTGCTCAGGCAGGAGACCTATACCATTCCAGACAAGTGATTGTCCAGTCTCTTCTTAAAAACCTCCAGTGATGGAGCACCCACAACTTCTGAAGGCAAGTCGTTCCACTGGTTAATTATTCTCACTGTTAGGAAGTTTCTCCTTAGTTCTAGTTTGGTAGGTTAATTTCAAAGAACAGACTTGAGGTCTGTTCTTCAAAAGAAGTTGGAATAAGTAGCACAGTGAATAGCAGACTTTACCCATAGGACACTGAATGCACAGGATTGGCATGCCTAATACTTAAGAAGTCCTTTACTGGAAGTGCTCATGTGATTCCTCAGAATAATGAACAATCTGGTTTTAGTAGAAATGGGGTGTGTCAGTTAGATTGACAAACTCTACATAAATACGTATTTGCAGGCGTTACATACGTACCATAACATCTGAGAAGTCTGTATACTTTTTTTTTGACTTGCATATGGCATCTCTGGGTGAGTGCCTTCATGTTATAAACCAAGGAGGTAGCCTTTGTAGTATGGTAGGACTTTCTTTCAAAGTCTGGCATGAGAATTGTAACAGACCATTATAGACACATAAACAGAATGTGTGCAACAAGGAATTATTTGCTTATGAACTGGCTGTGCTGAGCTTTAAATAGTAAAATGCTGTTGCCCAAACGTGCCTTTCACTTCTCAACTGTGTTAGTTTACTTAAGCTTAATTAGTTCTCTGCCTAGATCTGTGAAAGGGCATGGGAAAAAGAGGGTGATGAAGAGGGCTATCTCAGCGTTCAAATATGCTGAACTCGCAACCATTCAACCAATCGTCTCAGCTGGATTCAGTCTGGTTAAATGTTATCAACAATTTTGAACTGCAAAGTTCTCAGGCATAACATTAATACTGGACCCAGACCTGGCTGTGGCAATGACAGTTTTGCCTTTAAGAACCTGAAGAACTGAAGTGAATTACCAAATGCTCGCTGAAAAGAGGCAGACTGGATTTTCAAGCCAGCTTTATTCTAAATTCTCCAACATCTCTGCCGTCTCCTTCAGCTAATCACCCACAGAGGAGAATGGAGCGAAGAGAAGGAAAAATAAACAGTGAAAGTTTGTTCTTTACTTACGGAGCTGAAGCAGCAGTAGCAGAAGCTGAGGAAGCCTCCTCCAGTAACCCATTTTCTGGATCTTGCCAGCAATCAAATCCCAGTTTTGCAGTGCTACTCGGTTCATCCTCTGCCAGCCAACCTATCCAGGGCTTGTGGGGCTCCTCGCTAAAAGGGAACGGGAGGCAGACCCAGCTGTTTCAAATCCAGCTGTGTGAGTGTGTGGGGTCCGCCCAGGAACTGAAGTTCCTGAGCCGACGAATGCTGGCTCTTTCTGAATACACACAAATATAGGAGAAGGAGGAGGAGGAAGGGGGAAGGAAAAGTTGGCACTGAGAGCAAAGCTTGATATAAGGATGACAACGTCGGAGCCGCTTCAGGAACAGGAAAGAAAGAAAAAAAAAAAACTTGCCATCCAAAGCTGTGCACGGAGCACCTCATGTCTGTCTCTAATTTTAGCTGGCCTGTGAGATTAAAAGTACAAATCCTTTCTTTGGAAGAAAAAGGATGAAATCATAAATCAAGGCATATCACGCCAGCTCTTTTCCCATCAGACCTCTTTCCATTAGGAAGTAATGTGGAACAGATCTAGAAATTAGGAAAACCTCTATGCATTTATCACTGTGTCTGCTTTGTAGCCATCATTGCACTTCCGTTCTGCTCTTCCTTGCAGTCCCTGCCAAATGCACCTTTTTTTTAGAACAAAGGAAAAAGAAGCAGTAAAGCTATCAACAAGAGAAAATACGCTTCCCCCCCAAAAAAAACTGATGAAACATTTGTATAACATAACATTGCACAAATACAGTGATGTTACACAAACCCACAAACAGCCTGTTTGTCTTTCAATGGAGGGAAAGACTCCTAGAGCCACTATTTTCCAGCTCCAACTTTTTATTTTCAGAATAATAGAGTTGGAAGGGACCTTGGAGATCTTCTAGTCCAACCCCTTGCTCAAGCAGGAGACCCTATACCATTTCAGACAAATGGTTGTCCAATCTCTTCTTAAAAATCTCCAGTATTGGAGTACCCAGCTAGAAGCTGATAGAACCAGCCACTTTCCAGAAATCCTCTCCTTTTCTTAGAGCCCTCGTTCTAGTCTGTTTCTTCCTCCATCTTCAGGGTCTCCAGAGAAAAGAGAAATGAAGCTGGTGGAAAATAACTTTTTCTGACTTTCAGAGGGTTGAAAAGACTTTTTGTTGGCATCAGTAGAGGCCTCCCTGCTGTTTGTTGGAAGCCGATAAAGATGTGCGCTAAGGCTATAGCAACATGACTGAAGCAAAGTAGATCTGGCTTAGGTCAATGTCTAAGAGAGGTCACACCTATCCTTATTTGTCCTCTTTTATTTTGTGTGGCATTCCATGTATGATGAAAGATACACATGACATAAAAACATACATGAAAAGCTTTGTATTTTTTGCAAAATGAAGCAAAATAATGATTAGACATATTTGTAAGGAACTCAGCCAAGTTTTAGGAAGATGGATATCAAAGAAGAGTTAGTTTGGTCGGCCTTTTTGTGAGGGTATTTCCATGGCACACATGCTGCCAACCATAGTTTAACCATGAACCTACTAAATGACTCTTCCCCTCAATAACCCAGTTGCAACCTAGGTCTTTGCACTTTATTTGGGGTTGTTGTTTCCATTCAAAACCCACAGAAGAAACCTACGAGGAAAACAAACATCCAGCAAATGGTTCTTCTGACCAAAAGCAATCATTGTGTGACATTTGCAGCTAGAAAACAAAGCCACAGATGTGTGTTTGGTTTGCAGCTCTGCTGCTCATGTAGAGGAAGCATCAGGCAAGCAAATCATGACTGGAAATGTGTGAACATATCCAGTGAGAGATAAACACACACTGACAGGGCTCCCTGGGGAACGTTTCTGTGCGAAAAGTCTACACTGTAGGGAGCTTCCAGCTTTTAGGGGAAAGCTGAGAAAGTGAAGACAATGGCTGAGAAAGCAAAGCCTTGATGACTTCAGCTTTCATTTACACAATGGAGCTCATTGCACAGTTTCAGTGATAAATCATAATGAACTTTTGGGAGGCAGAAGACAAATTACACTGGCTTATCCACGTTGACTCATTCATACTTTGAATGTGAGTATATGCTCTTGCACAAGATATGGGAGGGAAAAACCCTCAAGACCTAGAAATTTGATTTCATTATTTTTCATTCCATTTCATTCTGAAGTACTAATTACTAGGAGTGGAAGAATTGAATTGGACTATGTCCAATTTAAGAAAGGAGTCAAAGTTCCTCTTATTTATTTTTTATTTATTATTACATTTTATGCTCACTATAAGGTGACTCTGGGAGGCTTACAAGTTATTCTACTACAGGCAATTGTGTCTCATGAGTCAGTGGGTGGTGTTTTTTTTTGGTTTTTTTTTTTTGCCCTTGGCCATGAAATTGCCATTGCTTTAATTCTATAGAAATTAAGCAATGGCACAGGGAAGAAAAATGCTTACTTTTGGAACCTGAGCAGAATGCCAGATTTGCTTAATTGCCTTATATGTGACTTGTGGCATCTTCCAATCATCCCACCACTGCTGTGCCAAAGCTACAGTTGCTTTATGCCACTTTAGTCTTTAGCACTATTAAAGATGGTGCTATGATGACGCTTTCAGTCCCTAGTGGAGAAATGGCAAAACTTTTGTGTGATGATGTAAATTCATATTGTGCCCAATCACTCAGTTGATGAGCCATTTAAGCAGGGGTTGAAAAACCTAAATTGTTTTTCAGTTGAATGAAGGCAAATATACATGTCCCAGGATAATGTTGTAGGATCTAATCTGGATCGGTCATTAAGATCAGAGGTTTAGTCTTCCAAGTTTTAGGATTCATGCTGGAGCCCATCGTCAGGGACCTTATCTTTACTGGAATGTGTCACTCTCTCCAGCATGAGTCCGAAAGCTTGGAAGACTAAACCTCTGGTCCCGATGAGCTATCCATATTGAATCCTGTTTTTCAGTTCTTTCTTAGAATACCCTGAAAACCAGAGTGAAAATCTCTGTGCATCTGCCTGTTTCTTAGTATAGCTTCACCCCAATGTTTTATGACATCAGCACACTTGATTTCCAAATCTTTTCCTTTGGAGTCCCTGATGATGTTTTTTCCAATTGTCACCCAGTTGAACTATTTCCTAATTCCTACCCGTCCAGAACCCCTTCCTGGCTTATCATGGCCAGCTCAATCTAGAAAATATTAGGATATTTTTATTCAAATGTGCAGCATATTGTTTTACCTCCTTTTACCTGGTTTTCATTTTGTTATCTCTTCAATTCTGAAGATAATCTCAGAAATCCTTTCTGTGTCCACTCCTCTGAATAATATAGTGTCATCCACACACAGGTCCAACCATACTCACTACAGCCTTAGAGTAAGGGATTTAAGCAAATCCTTGAAGACTTCATTTCTTACACACCTCCATTCTGTATGTCCATTGTTTACTTCAGTCCTGATTTTTAACCAGACATCATCTCATGAAAGGGTTTTCCCCACTTATTTCATCCCTCAAATTTTATTCCACTAAAACCAAATATTATTCAAGTGACACTTTCACAAAGTAGTGGTTAAAGTCAAATATCACACTACCCTATGGTTTAACATTATTTTTGTTAATTAGATTTGGCTTATACAAGATACTAAGCTAGAAGTCATCCTTTTATAAGCTACCGTGTTCAATCTCCTGCAATATGTTACGCCAAAAGCAAGCTGACATGGGACAGGATGTGAACCTAATCTTGCCTATTTGATCACCTCTTCCTGCATTTATCTTTTTTTGCTAAATTAGGAAGCATCTTGAATACTTTGAAGAAAAAAAAAACTGACATGCCACTGAATCCAGCATCACGACCCACTTTTCCTTCTCTCTCAGGGAGGCAAGAGACATAATCAAAAGACACAGGAACAATGAGGAAGTCAAAAAGTAAGTCTCCCTCCAAATGGCTCAGGGTAGACATTATGCCAATCATGACTGCTTAATCAAAATGTAGGATCCAAGGCTCAGAGTGAGCTTTCAAACAACTTGATCTGTTTTTTGTTTAGTATCACAGTTTTCAGCTGAGGTCTGCTCACTATTGCATCATATGTAAGTGGAACAACTACAGCAGTGATGGTTTATCTCTTGAACTCCTCTGCCAAACCAAGTGAATCTTCCCCTAAAGCTTTGGATTTTTGTTGCCCCCCCCTCCTTTGAGTCTTCCCATGTTTATACAAATTTTTATTCATGCAATCCATGTAGATATCTGGCTTTTTTCAAAAGTCTGTCAGTTTTTCCACATTGGTGTTTATGGGCCAATTTCCCCTCCCATTTATTTTTCAAAAAGAGCGAGAGAGTGAGAGAGAGCAGCACATTTTCTTCTGGCTTTAGAACTGGCAGGATCGGGGTACTTTCTTTTCTGTGAAAACTTTCCAAGTTTTTTTTTTTCTCTCTCTCTCTTTTTTAAAAAATGTGTTTGTGTTTCTCTGTCTGGGTGCTTGGCTCAATGTTTGGTTCCCCTCCTGCTGCCTTTGTGGCCTCTGCAATTTTTCTGATCACATGGGGAAGCATCTTTGATGTTCTCTTTCTCAGTCCTCTTATTTCCACCAAGTCTTGGCTCCTTTTGAAAATGCTTTTGTGGATAGAAGGGCCACCAAAGTTTATTTATTTTTAATCACTGACCAGTAGGATTAATCATACCATATCGCTTTTGCATCATAAGCCTTCAATATATTAGCCGTCATTGCCGTTATGACAATAAATTAATAATGTGTCCAAGACTCACAGCATACCAGAATACAAGAACGATTGTTCAAAAAAGATTGTACATTTTTATGTGCATGTTATGTGTGTGGAAACCAGAAGAATTTATGTCCAGTTGATAAACATATAAATTGGTCAGCAAAATCAAATGTATTGTATCCTTATTTAAGCTCTCTTTAAATAGATACAGTAGGTAGGTAAGTATTAATTGTTACCAACAGTATTAACTGTTGATAGAAAGCTATTACTGGACAACTTCCAGAACTTCCTTGGGAGATTTAGAAGCCATTTCAGCAATCCCATTCAAAGGATCCCATTCTGAATCCTTAGGAGATTCAAAAATTCCAAAAGGGCTACAGGAGAATAAGGTTGTTCATCATAGATTTTTAAACTGTTGGCCAGAGATGTCGTCTGGGATCATGCCAGAGATGTTGCCCTTATTGACCAGTTTAGAGGGCGTGCATGATGATCTCTGAGATGAACTGATGAGGCAAGCAACCCCAGTCACCTCTGATGAGATGTATCAGTGTTGCATTGTAGAGGAATTGAAGCTGAATTGGGGTGTCAGGGGCAGAGTTGACATGGGTCTTTCTTTCCTCTTGCTGTTGCGCCCCCAAATTCAAAAATGGTGGAACCAGTGAAGATTGCAGCTGTCAAGATATTTGGACGAGAGTCGAGATGATGAGATCTGGCTCTCTGTTTCATTGTAGAGCCTCCGGGGCCCATTGTCAGAGAGCGCCTGACAAGAAATCCAACGGCATATATTAGAGCCTCAGAACAACTTGCCAGCAAACACCTGCCTTCATCCACAGTGCAAACCAGGGAAATTCCATCGATCCTTCATGAGAATTCACAAGAGGGCTCATCCATCAGATAAGGAGA